TAGAAGACTTATTTGATGAAACGCATGCGTTTAACGTGGAATCACGAGATCACGATCGGGACGTTTCGTCGCTTGCGAGGACCGATCCTTCATCGGAATTAGCGGCGCTTGTCGAAATGTATGGGCTCGATTGGGTTCGTGTGAATTGGAATTGAGTTATTGGGGAAAAAAAAAATTGGTACTGCTGGAGCCCGGCGACCCTTGCCGTGTCATTGTCCTGAGAAGCCCCATGTCATGGTGAGATTTATTCTCTATTGTGACAATGCAGAACATGATTTAGTTGAAACTGTCAAGCTAACCTGCAGCAGGAATTTGTAAAAATTACAACGAGCTTAGCGAAAATAATAATTAGCTCATTCCTGCAGAAATTCTCCGTCCATTACAAGCTTTCCCTGTCTACGTGAGCCCATCTCGATGTCGCCAACTCAGCCTGCGAATTCGTTAGAAAATTTGGTTTCAGCGTTGAATTTGCGACGGAAATCCCATGCAGAATTGAATTTCCTGAACGCATCGCTGTTACCGTAAGCCCGTTCCGGCAAAAGAGTTGAAATCGTTTCTCTCCACTCATGAAACATCACGATCCAGCATTACTCACCATCCAAGCATTTCTCAATAATCATCCGTGACATGGCGTGGTCGATGCCCAATTTAAGCGTGAAGTGTTTTCCGATCAAACTAAATGAAACATTTTCCCAGTTTCAATTATCGAGATGATCCTTCGAGTCACATTTCCCGGACATCTGCTTGTAAAAGCAACTAACTAAATTTCCAGGTCATCAACATGTATGAGGCTTGGAATCACATTCCAGGGCATCAACATGTATGAGGCTTGGAATCACATTCCAGGTCATCAACATGTATGAGGCTTGGAATCACATACCAGGGCATCAACATGTATGAGGCTTGGAATCACATACCAGGGCATCAACATGTATGAGGCTTGGAATCACATTTACAGGGCATCTACCGCCTGAAGCATCAAGAAAACTGTCCATGGAATCTACTTGCAGGAGGCTTCGACCAGCATTTCCATATAAACCTCTGTCATCTATCCATCCATTTCTATCAGATGTAATACCTATTCGTTTCCGTTCGAGTCCCGCTTGAAACGGTATATATTCTTCCGGGTTAATTCGCGCGATGTAAAATGCTCTTCGGCCCTTTTCCAAATGCTTTTATGGAGTTCGGCTTCATATGATTTAATGTTAAAATCAATTTCCGCTTTTTTTGCAGCGGTTTCGATGGAATCGCACGAAATGGATTGGATTTTTCGGTTACGTCCATATTGCCAATGAGGTCCTGGTCGACTTCACTAAGTATTGATGGAGATTCTAATGGGGTTTGCTTTCACCCAGCATGACAAAATGCGCTAGCAGTGGCAATTTCATGGTTTCGATCGGTCGAAGCGATTACTTCGATTATTTGAACGCTGAGACTCCTCAATGCGCAGTTCCACGTTTCCCGGGATTATCTGTCTCGATGAGCCGTAATAAATGGCCTTGGACGTCTACCTGATAATGCTTACACGGTGAGAGGTCTATGCAGGGAAGTAAGTACTTGTATTTAAAAAACATGTTTAATTCAGATTACTATTGATTTGAAGGAGGTTTCAAGCTTCCTTCGATGCGGGGCCCAAGTTGCGTCCAGCCGATGGATCGGAATCCATTTCTGAGTGTTGAATGGAGGAGAAGGAATGTGGAGCTATGTAGGAGGAAAGAGGGGGACTGGATCCTAATCTGATAGAGTCAGGTGGAGAGGAGTGGAGTGGAGGCAGGTGGCGTGAAGTGGCGACCCGACGAGGGGGAGGTCCCTATGCGAGGGAGGTCCTGGTGGGAGTCAGTCGGTCGCTGCTCTTGGCACGCGAAGGTGCGTGTTTCCTCTGAGCGCCATCATGGACGAAGTGGAGTCGAAGTTGACTGGGGGCGATATTGCCGTGATCGTCGCTTACTTCGTGATCGTGATCGGCGTCGGAATATGGGTGAGCTCCATTTCCTGTCGTCCCTTCCCTTCCCATCGTTTGGCATTGTCTCCAATCTGTCAAGTCGGGGCTGTTCCACCCGATCGTTTTCTATGGGGTTTCTCCAATCACCCTTTAAGAAGAAATCTCGACCTGGTGTGATTTCAAATCTAGACTGTAATGCTTTTAGAGTGTCCTTGGAAACGGGCAGGGAGGGATCACATAGTGTCCAAGGCATAGTGCCCTCTGATGCACCGTTTGACTATAACTCCTAGCTGAATTTCCTGCTAGATGGCCAATTCTCGAGTCAGAATAAAAATTTTACAACTCCTTCTGTGTTTGCTCGAAGAGCACTGACAGCATTCACTGTACGAAGAATAATGACAGTCGCCCCTACCGAAGGCAATATTCAGATTTATAATTAAGAATTACATCAGACATCGGACTACAACTCTTTGCCCAATCGTCCGACGTCAGAGGTGATTCTTCTTACCAGAGGTGCACCAGGTGAATATTTTGCAATATTCCACCTGGATCCCCTAGGGCTTGCCCTGCGACAGTTCGAGAAAATCGCCTGAAGGTACTTCAATCCGGGCGACAAAAAACTCAATCCCTGAGCATCTCCTCCGCATTAATCACCTTTCGTCGGAGAAATTGTCGAATTGATGAGCAACTGATGGATAAATATTAAGCAAAAACAGACTTCTCCTGGATGGTCTTCCCTTCCCAGGAAGCCAGAGCTTCGATCGCTTCGGTTCCGGAGTCGAAACAGTTCCGAACCTCTCAGTTATGAACGTTTTCTTTCCAGTACTTCTCAGTACTTCTCAGTACTTTCATCGAAAACGTTAAAAGCAAGTCTCACGAGCTTTAGAATGAGAATATGCTTTCCAAAATCCCATGGAAGTACTAATTAAGAAGTACTAATTTTTTTTTAACTTCCACATATAATACGTACCATGGAATCGTCCTCGTCCAATCAACCACTCCGGATAAAGCAGGTTATCTTTTATTTTATATTCGTCTCAGCATGTCTCGTTCACTCTTATCTTCAAGTACATTATCTTCGCTTTACGATGACTATATGTCCATGCTCCTCGTGGAAACGTTATGGGAGATGTAAATGTTTGGTTACAACTCGAGAATTTGCCATCCACTAATGAGAACTTATAGCCTAACTGCATTAGGGGACACTATGCATCAGATGACACTGTCTGATGACACAGTGTCTGATGACACTGTCTGATGACACTGTGTCTGATGACATACTGCATCGGAGGGCACTATATGTCTTGTGAGACTATCCATCGGAGGACGTTTTAGATTGGAGGACAACGTGAATCAGGGGACAATAAAGACTGGATGACACTATGTATTGCAGGACGATAACGTCTGGATGGCACTGCATCAGAGAATATTAATGTCCTCTGATGCATAGTGTCATCCAATCTTAACGGTCCTTTGAAGCAAAGCAACACCTAGAACAGGCCAGTTCTTGGTGCTGCTTTCTTACAGGTTGTGTTTTCAACGAACGATTCTTTTGTTTCCTCGGCTTCACCATTTATTAGCATTTTTATTTGCAACACATAATTTTTAATTTTTGCGAGTTCAGCAGGTACTCGTTTAAATGTCTAAACTTCTAGATGTAAGCATCGTAAGCATTTACATGTAAAATTAAACTGTTGAGAATAACTCCTAATAAGTTTCCAAGTGTCCAAGAAATTACAATAAAATATTTTAAATTGGTAGAAAAAGATATTATCGCGAATATCCAGGAAATGCCAATTAAGCAATTAAGGGGTTAATGGGCTATACACACCAAGCCATTCCCGAGGTCGATACCATTGCTGGATGCGCGATTTCCTCCTTCGGTGACCAGTAAAGAAAATGAAGACGTTCCTGGCGGACGTTGAACGCTAAAGAGGCGCTGTTCTTGAGCAATACTGTGTTATCCGTCGGAGAGTGGCTAGAAACAAAGGTTCACACAATCGACGCTAGATGACGACAAAATACCTTGTATCAGTTAGTACCTCATAAAGCTGGAATTATCTCCAATGCTTTCCTTGAAGTTCTTGATCTCTTCCCCACACAGACACCACAGGGGAAGACACTTGAATTATCTAACAGATCGATCTCATGAGGCACCCCCGTCCAACGAGTCTGTCGAAAACTCTGGCCCGGTGGATGAAGGGAAGATATCACTGAAGGGAAGATATGTCACTTTGCAAGTTGACTTCGCGAGGAAATGGAGAAGTATGGCTGAAAGGATCATGAACCGTGTCATCGTTCCTCATATGAGGTCTATCCATGCGGGGAGTGGCCATTTCCTGCTGTGGAGGTGGATAGAGACATTTCTCTATTCTCCAGCTCTTTCTCCACACGAGTGGAGGAGGAACAGCTCATCTGATTCATATATCTCAGAGAGAGATCTGCCTTTGAAAGCGAAATTCTATCGGGATGCTATCATTCCCAAATGAAGAACGGTAAAACTTCTGCAATAATTGATCACGCGATTGTTTGTGACCCGAGTCACAGGAGCAGAGTTTACTTTGGACGAATGCAACCCTTTGAAGCTGTTTGGGAATATTCAACTGACGTCCTGGATGGACGTTCAGAGAACGCATAATTTGACAATTTTTTGTTCGCTCTAAATTCCGGACTTTTGAACAGTCAGGGAACGTTGGCAACCTATGAAACGAGCGGTCCGGTTCGTGCAAACCATTTCTGTCCTTGGCGAATGGATTGCATCGCATTTGCCTTATCCTCGAGTTTTCTGAGAAGCATGTTATCTGGACGACACTTCCCCGATGCGATAAGGGACTTCCGCACTTGAGACAGGAACATGTGTAGCTCTTAGGTTGGAAAGTCAGGAGAAACAAAGGCTCGGTCTCGGCCCTCGTCGCGACCGACGGCTCTCATTACCACCTGACAATTTCGTTCCGTTATCGAGAGGGAAGAAAGGAACAGACGAGAAGAGAGAGGAGACTGGCCTCCAGATGGGGCGCTGGCGGCAAGTGCGTCCAATGGGCAGAGGCGAAGCTTGAGCGCCGGGTTTAAATGCGTCCAATGGGGATGTTGGGCGCTGGGTTTAAATGCGTCCAATGGGCAGGGAAGGGCGGTGCCTGCTCAGCGAGAGCGTTGGGAAGCACTTGTGTACTCCCCCAACATTCCACGAATATCTTTTTGGGAAAATCATGAAAGGCAGGATCATCGACGAGCCTCGCAGTTTCTGCACTGGCATTGTGTAATTGATTGGCTGGTAACTTTTCCGATTAACTCGTTGAATGCAAGTACTGAGGCCGTTCTGATTTGTCACCTCATCCGTTGAGAACGCGGAGGGAAGAAGCCAGAACCCAGATGATCAAACGTTTAACTCGGTTTCATCTGTTCGATCCGAATGGACCTCTCCCGAGTATTTTGCCTGATTACGATGAAATTTCCTCATACACAATACACGGAGAACTCAACTTTCCAATTCGCAGTGCAGGATGCGCAAATCGATGAGTTGATGAAAATTATTAGAATTGATGGCATTTACTCTGTAAAATTATGAACTTCCAGATTTGCAATATTTTTCCTAGTTCATCGTGAAGCCTGGTCCGGGGGCCTTTCAGATTCTCATGTTAATAGCATTTTCCGTTCCTCCTTGTGTAGAGTTCCATACGGAGCAAGAGGCACAGCGTGAGCGGATACTTCCTCGCTTCTCGCCAGATGCATTTCATCCCGGTGAGTCTCTTCCGGCTCCCTTGATTTCCGCGCGTCTCTTCCCCGTCTCTTCTCACTTCATCTCCGTGACTGTTTTTCATGGTTCCCCGAAAAAAAACGATGAAATGGGCAAATGTAGTTTCCAACAGAAAGTACTGCGGGTATCCCAGGTGAGCAGGCGGCTGACAGCATGATTGAAAGGAAACTAATCAGTAAATGAGCTGATCTGATCCGCCTCACGCAGGAGTGAATCGAAACCAGGTCTACGTGCTTCATAGTTGAGTGACGCTCCTCGAAAAGGTGGACGGGATGGGAGACTTCAACGCGCGAAGGAGACGAAGACTTCGTTGCGAATAGAAACGGTTTATTTTAAAACTTGATTATTCTTTGCATTCGGGTCAGGATGCACATATCGAAAAGTTAATTTAGTATTTTTATTGCTACGAGCACATTCTTGTGATTTTTTAATTATATTTAAACGAAACTTTTGCTGTACTTTTGGCACTGCATATTTCAGTACGTACCACCTTTGAAATTCCGTTCCCTTCTGATCATATATATTTTAAGAAGCGATCATGAAGCGGTTAGCAAGCGGTCACCAGCAGTTAGCAAGATGCTTGTACTGGTAAACAGCAGAACTCGAAGAAAATAAACTCTAAGGTTAGAAATTCTCCCTGTTTCGTTTCCACCGACTGTCGATGTGTTGCAGGTTGGGGCGAGCCTGTTCGCGAGCAACATCGGGTCGGGCCATTTCGTGGGGCTCGCTGGGGCGGCGGCGGCTAATGGCATCGCCATCTCGGCCTTCGAGATCAACGCCATGTTCGTGCTCATCCTCCTCGGTTGGGTGTTCGTCCCGGTTTACATGTCCAGTGGGGTGTTCACCATGCCGGAGTACCTGAGGAAGAGGTTTGGGGGACAGCGCATTCGGGTCTACCTGTCGGTGCTGGCGATCATCCTCTACGTCTTCACCAAGATCTCTGTAAGCGACTCGCTACTCCCGGTGATTTCTTCGATGGTGTTACTGGAATGGTTCTGCGCAGGCGGATCTGTTCGCCGGGGCGGTGTTCCTCGACGAGAGCATCGGTTTGGACTTGTACCTGGCGGCGGTCTCCCTGCTGTTGCTCGCCGGGTTCTTCACCATCGGCGGGGGGTTGACGGCGGTCATCTGGACGGATTTTGCGCAGACCATCCTCATCGTCATCGGGTGCTTCATTCTCACCATCAAGACCTTCATCAAGGTCGGTGGGTACCAGACGCTGGTGGAGAAGTACTTTGATGCGTATGCGAATATTTCGCTGGTGGACAATAGCACGGGGAAGATTTGCAATGCTCCACCGGACTATGCGATGCACATCTTCCGGGATCCGAGTCCCGGAGCGTCGGATATCCCGTGGACGGGGCTCATCTTTGGGATCACCGTGTCTGCTGTGTGGTACTGGTGTTCGGATCAGGTAATTCCTTGCCTTGTGCATTCTCTGTTTCTATGCCTCTGCCCTCATGAAATATCCATTTGTACGAGTGAGAACGGCAGGGAGTGGATTTGGAATCAGGCGGACTTCTCTCCTGGATGGATGAGGAACCAGGTGGATCGGAATCCATCAGGTGGATTTACGCGTGGACGAACATCCGCATGGTTCCGAATTCACCCGGCATTTCTCGAGTATTTTTCTTACCGAATTTGTATCGTCAGGTGATCGTGCAGCGAGCCCTGGCCGCGAGGGACATGATCCACGCGAAGAGCGGCTGCATCTTCGCCGCTTACTTGAAGTTCCTGCCGCTGTTTCTGCTCGTCTTCCCCGGGATGGCCGCTCGGGTTCTCTACACGGACGATGTCGCATGCTCGGATCCGGACGAGTGCGAGCGCATCTGCAATAGCCGGAGCAGTTGCTTCAACCGGGCCTACCCGAAGCTGGTGGTGAAGGTCATGCCGGACGGGTTGAGGGGTCTCATGCTGTCGGTCATGCTGGCGTCGCTCATGAGCTCCCTCACGTCCATCTTCAACTCGTCGTCCACCATCTTCAGCATCGACATCTACAGACGGTTTCGGAAGAACGCGACGGATATGGAACTCCTCGTCGCCGGAAGGTATGTCGATTTAAATGAGATCTTGTTGATTCATGGTGGTTCATGGTGGTTCATGGTGGTTCATGGTGGGTTCATGGTGCGTCAGGTGCTTCGTGATGTTGTTGGTGGGCGTGAGCATCGCCTGGCTGCCCATCATCCAGGCGTCGAAGGGGTCCGGGCTGTTCGATTACATCCAGAGCATCACGTCCTTCCTGGCCCCGCCGGTGTGCGCGGTGTACGTGCTGGGCGTGCTGTGGGAACGCATCAACGAGGCCGGGGCGTTCTGGGGGCTCATGATTGGACTCGTCGTGGGACTGATCCGGTTCGCGCTCGAGTTCGGCTTTCCTCCTCCCGCCTGCGGTAAGGGATTTTTTTTTTTTCATCTCAACTCTGAAGATATTACCAGATAGTAGATGTGTATGTGTGACGTACCAAGGTTCAACTGGATCCACCGGGGTTGAACGGCAGGTGGAAGTCCCTTAAGTGGAAAATCGCATGAGCGATTTTCTCCAAGGTGGATTTTGAACCAGGTCGACTTCATCCTAACGAGTGGATTTTTGCATGAAAGAGTATTCACCCGGTTCCAAATCAGACTGAGTTATTGTAACGGTCGTGACACCGTGACACCGTGACCCGTCATGTTACCGGTCACATATGTCATAGGAACCATCTCCGGTTTTCTAGGAGTTATCGTAGCTTATCGGATGGCTTCATCATCTTTTCGCCATAGAAGCATCGAAGCTTATTTAATCAACGATTCGATTAATCAACAAAACTGTCCACTGAAATGAAGTAATTTCGCATTCTTGGTCGACTGTCACACGTCCTTCGACTACTCAAGAACATTTTGAGCCGTTTTCCCGATAACTAGTTCCTTGGTGCTGATGCATGGATGTGCAGCCGCATGGAAGTCCTGGCATGCCCCAGTCGCGATTCGGCGCCGAACACGGTCCACACACGCACGGCACGCCGAATTCCAGGGAGCTTCCGCTCGCCGCGGCGGCGTGACTGGAGCTGCGCGCGGGATGCGATGACGGCGACCTCTCCAGAATGGAGGAGCAGTTACGGATCTTGACGTCATCGCGATATCTGTCCATACAATGGTCACTGGCCCACATTCTTACCTGCTGGATTGCTCCGAAGGACTGTGGGAAAATATTGTTACGGTTCCGTGCGTTCTCTTCTACTGGTGGTGGGAATCACAACACAATAGGTCAGGGCTGATACAAAGCAGGTTTTATTGATAAATGCCAGTCCTCGGCCAATCAATCAAGAAGATTACGAAAGGCATAGCGAACGTCTACTCCCGAGGAAATGAAGGTTCAGGGAATCGGGAACGTCTAATCCCGAGGGCAAGAAGGTTCAGGACGGCAGGAATGTCTAATCCCGCAGGGTAAAGGGTGCTGCTGCTTACCGCCCGTGGACGTTAAGCGAAAAGAATACAAGATACGAAAGCTGTAATCAGCTCTCTGCTCTCTCTTCCAAACTTCGAAAAAAAGGGGAGAACCTCACTCCTCAGGCGCGTGCGGTCTTGTAGTACATGCCATCATTCCTTGGCGCTCAGATGCCGAATTACTGTATTACAATGTGAGTATAACTATGCCTCTAGTCTGTAAGTGTCAGACGGAAATGAAAAGAGGGGTGGCTGAGAGCCAAAGACATAAAGAAGGTTATTAAAACAGATCTCTCGATTGGGGTTAAGGGTCAGAGGTCAGGATGACACCTAGGAGGTCATGTACACACTGTGGTCTTCCTGGGCGACTCGTAGAGAGTTCTTCCCTCGCATACCGGCAGTCCTGCTAGGCCACTCACTGGGTGTCGTGCCGGCTGGGCCGTTACAATATGTTGCCAGATTACTTCCATCAATACCAGGGATGTCGGATTTTTTTTAAATCTTTCGGTTTTTTCTTTTAATTTAGCACCTGTCAATGGGCTAATGTCGCCCAAATTGGGTTTCAATTTAAGTTTGGTACATTCTGATTCGAGTTTGGTACAGGCGGTCTTTCGGGTCGAATCTGATCGCTGGTGGCAAGATGTACCATCGTTATTGTTGGAACCTATATGTAATTATGGAATGAATACGAAACTAAAAGGAAAATGTGGGTATACATGAATACGAAAACAGACAATAAACACTTTAATTAAGTAATTAGATTCTGATGACGCGACGCCGCTCCACTCTTTCACAGGGGACGTAGAAACCCGACCCGAGGTCATCCAGCGCATGGTGGGGGATTTCCACTATCTCCACTTCGGGTTCTTCCTCTTCCTGTTCGTCTGCCTCGTCACGACCGTCATCAGCCTGCTCACGAAGCCGATCGACAGATCCCACGTGAGTGTCCCGTCCACTAGATTCGTCTTGCGTGTGTCGTGGGTGCATCCATCTCGGTTTCGTCTTCCAGCTGCCGCGACTGACGTTCGGGACGCGGTTCAGTCGGAGGGTGAGGATCGACCTGGACGAGCTGGATGCGGACCCGGAAGAGGAGGAGCGGCAGAGGCAGAAGGAAAAGGAGCGGCTGCGACGACGAGGTAAGCATGTTTGACCGGTCGAGAGCGATAAATATTAATATATTCAAGTTACTAAAATATTAATATTGTAAACTAAGCAGACGGAATATAATTTATCTGATCATGCTTCAAATAAAGGGTTTCAATTAAAAATCGCCTGGACCAACGATATTTTCTGCAAGAACTGCCATTTCCGCTTCGGATACTAGGCTTTTCAACGACCATGTACGCACTATTCGCAGCGGAAGCGGGGACTCCGCCCCTGTGGAGACGAGCCATCGACTGCATCTGCGGATTGGATGCGCCTGATGCCGAGGAGGAAGCGATGGAGGAGACCCAGCATAAGATGAGCAAGGAGGAAGAGGCTGCCAAGGCTGCCGACTTTCTCTACGAGCCTCCCTTCTGGCGAAGGTATCGTTTCCGTCACACTCCTCCTTCAAGTTCCCATCAACCACACCCCTCCCTCGCCTCCTCCAGCCACACTCCTCCCACAGCCACTCTCCTCCCACAGCTCTTTCTGCCACCTCCCTCTCCCGTCTGTTTCCCTTAGCTTTCACTGCTATTTTTCCTCCCTTAGGCTGACGAACGTCAACGCCGTCATCTGCATGACGTTCGGCATATTCATCTTCACCTTTTATGCCTGAGAAGAGAGAGAGGACTCTTCCCCATCCTTGTGATTTTATCGTATTATGCATGCCAAAGATGAGAGAAACCTTTCAAATGCATCATTCTCAACGGTTTTCATCGTGAGTCGCGAGTAACAAAACTGTGAAGTTACGTATCATTAGTTCATTTTTGGTCAGAAAAGGCTGAGCAAAATAATCCAACTGAAGACCCGCGGAAGGAGATATGATCTAGAGTATTTTCGGCCGAGGGCATCTCCGCAATCCGCCCGCGAGCCAAACGCATTCACCTTCCTGAGAACGATTGCCTCATTTCACTTTAAAATTTTGTGCGTGGCCATCAGCAAAATCTATTCGAAAATATTTCGGAACTTCCACTTTTTTCGGGCTCAACAGCCAAACCATTCGAAATCGTATGGGGCCCATGCCCTTTTCCTTCCGAGCTTACAAAAAGGAAATGGACTTTGTTTTGAGGTTCATAATCAATCGGAAATACACAAAGGACGGGGTGGAGGCTGGTGAACATTTTATTAGCAATTGTATGGTACGTGCTGGACAAATTAGATAAGCGAGAATATTCGCGATGAAAGTATTGAGAAACTGGATGTGATTTGACGTGAATGACTTTATCGACTCTGAGGTAGTTGATCAATTTATATTTATTATATGGAATGAAAATAAATTGCATATGACACTGTGGGAAAATTGTTTCCTATTACCAAACGGAGTACATAAGAGTGCAAGGAAAAAAAGGGAATTTCCATAGCGGAGCACGAATGGGCACTCCAGTCCCGCGGAGCGTCTCCCGTAAATTGTTTGTCGGGAATTCCCAGTCAGCTCAGTCCGGGAATTCCCGAGCCCAGTCGGCAGCCATGAAACACAGCGGCCCTCTCAACGACACGAGCCCCTCGATCCGGTTCTCGAGAATGACCTGCGGAAGACATCACGTATTCACGAGTTTAATCGGCGGCCCCATAAATGCTCCACGTAGCAGCCGCTCGAGCATTCCACGCCATGCATAATCCCCCCGAGAAACCGGATGGTCACAGCTGACGTCGTCTTTCCGATTCAAGGGTAACCGCTCCTGTTCCATACGGTTGGGATCCCGCCGTTTTCACCCTCGGGAGTCACTCTCCTTCTGAGAGTGCCGATCTAATATAAGGACGGGGTTCCGATTGATAGAAGTAGAGAGGAGGGGGGCGGCGGCGGGTATATGCGTAGAATGCTTCTCGTGTTACACTACAGTGTTAGTTATTGGCATGGAGATAGCTTGTTGAACGTCTTCGGTGGGGTGGTGGCTCCTGTTCGGCTATCAGGAGTCTCCGGTTTAAGATTCCTGCCCGCTCCATCACTTTTTTTCGTTCTCTCACGCCGTCCGAATTCTTCACTCCGGCATCCCTCCGACATCCCTCCGACATCCCTCCGACATCCCTCCGACATCCCTCCGACATCCCTCCGACATCCCTCCGACATCCCTCCGACATCCCTCCGACATCCCTCCGACATCCTTTCCAACTAGATGATTGGGACATCCGTCTCGTTACTCATCTCTGCCCCTTTGCGCGGAGATTTTATCAGAGTTCCGGTGACACTCTCCCGAATGGAACGTGTCAGACACAAAACTCACCGAAGCAGAAAAAATTCTCGGACCCGCAGGCGGAGATGGAGAAGAATGAACTCGCTGGCGTCGATCTTTAATTAGCGTGGAAAGGTCTCCGTTCTCGAGCGAAGACACTTCCTTTCGCAGCTTTAATTGCTGTGATATATTACGATATAATAATATATATTATAACACATCTATATAATAATATATTATTTGTTCACTTTCTCCTTGAAATTTTATACGTATTGTCGGCCTAAATAAAGTTCGTACCACAGAAAATAAAGAGCCCACAGCCCCGAATAAGAGCTAGAATCCTCCGCTGACAGAACGGTCACACTCTCGGGTGACGGTCACGGCATAATATTTCCTATGAATAAGAATAATATGAAATCCAGCGCGAACGGCGAACAATTTCCCGCCTCCATACATTCGGCGCCTGTTTGCCGCCAAACCACCGCCGACTCTTTCACCGGACGCAAAGGGACGCAGGGGGACGCACCACGGCAGCGGGGACGTAGGAAGGGACGGTCTCGAAGTAGTGCAGGGAATGGGTGTGCGCCCGGAGCACCAGGTGCACCGCGACGTAGAGCCCGGCCAGGATCACAGAGGCCACCCCGCAGGACACGCACAGGACCACGTACTTCCGGCAGCAGCTCGTCTTCCTCGACCCTAAAAATAATTAAATATAATTTATTTATAAATACCGAAAAAAAAATTGGGGAATTAAAAAAAATATATAAATATCGAAAACAAGCAAAACTTTAAAAATATTTTGGAACTTAAAATAAATAAAACAGAAAATCTCATAACTAATGAATTTGCAAAGTAAAATCAATACACATTCCCCCGCGAGAAATTAACCCTGTCAGTACCGTTCAACGATATACATATACCACACAATAATAAATCTCGGAGAAGTGAAGCAGAGAGGAGATTCCGGGCACGGCAGGGCACGCCGACTGATTGTCAGTAACAAATGCTCCCCGAAACTTTTTAAAAAGCACACGGGGTCAAATTCCTCTCTCTCTCTCTCTTCTCTCTTCTCTCTTCTCTCTTCTCTCTTCTCTCTCCTCTCTCCTCTCTCCTTTCTTCTCTCTTCTCTCTGTGTCTGGAATGAATTCACCCAAGATGGATCTTGGGGGATAAATCACTGCGGGGCAAGAAGAGGAAGAGGGCAGGGGCCTGGGGGGGCTTGCGAGATGCGAGGACATCTCCCGTTCCGGATTCCGGATCATTTTCCAGATCGTTCCGGAATTCGAGCCAGATAGTGAACGGGCCCCGTTCGCCGTCTGGCTCGAATGGGGAACGTTATTATTGTTATTCGATTCACTCCGCGACCCGGAACGAGGGTTAAGGAGACCGGAGCGGTGACCGACGGGCTAACCGACGGGACCCATAACCGCGCGGTAAAGCCGATGGTCTCAAAAAAAAAATCCGCGACAATTTGGCACGCACGCAATTTGGCATGTTTTCGGATTTTGGCGGGGACCAGGGAAAAAAACCACTGGAGCAAAAACAAATGGCCTCGAGCGTCCAGCATTCCACGATGCAACCGCTAATTAGTAATTAATAAGCGACTTCCCAATCGCTCGGTTCGGAGATGCATGGGTTCGTTCCACTCGAATTGGCACGCTTCCCTTTAAAAGTATCGCTAAAAAGGTTTTTTATATACCGGCAATTTTCAACTGGAGTTCTGCGACAAAAAGAAGTTGATTGAATCAACATTTAAATAAATATTTCAACTATTTCATTATTTTTATAAATAGAAATTTATTAGAATACTATTCCATTTCATTTAGCTTTTTGTCAGGCAGAGGTCATTTTCCCAATGATAAAACCAACACATTCGACTATTATTCGCAAGCTGACATCCACCCAAACCTCCTGCTTTTTGCCCGGTTACGCCCGCGGGCATCACAGCGGGGGGGAGGGGGGGAAGGGGGGGGGGGGAGCCCCATTAAAATGAAAGCAGGCGGTGAAAGCGCGGCGAAAGGTGTGGGAGGCACCCCCGATTAGTGGGGCTCACCTGGGTATTACCCTGGGGTGCACCCCTCCCGGGTGATACCCCGTCCCGGCCGCACCCTGCCATCAACGCATCACCGTTGATCTACGATGCTCTTCCCACGGCGATTCACCGGGAACTTTGACACGGTTACGTCCGGTTAAGACAACGGTTAAGATGAATGTCTCGCGAGCCCTTGAAAAAAAAATTGCCAATTTCGTTCCTCCTCGCAAAATTCAGCGAGTACCTCCGCTATCGGCACCGCAAAAAAATTTGCATGCGCGTTCACATATCTCAATTTCAAACTGTCAACACGATTTCCGAAAATTGGCAACGCAAATTGGCACTCCTCTCCCGAGAAACACCATCCTCTCGAGCCCTTTCCGGAAACTAATTAACTTGAGGAATCAATTATGCATTCCATCGGAGGGAAAGAGATGCGCTGGAAACTTGCAAGAATCCAATAACCCAAACCTCCCTCGTGTTTATGAAGGCGACAGCGGTATAAAAAAAAAATAAAAATAAAAAAGCTGGAATAAACATATCAATCTCGGCAAGTAAAAAATTGGCAGCAAAATAAACAGAGCGCCGAGGGAGACAAGTAGAGACATCTACCGGCAACGCACAACGTGAAGGCAATTGCAAATCGGGGATAACAAGAGCCGTCCCCTCAAAGGTCAGAACCATGTCCTCCTCAAAGGTCGGCGCCACGTCCCCCCTCAAAGGTCAGAGTCCCAACTAAACAACCTGACCCCCTCAATTACTCCGGCCTGATTTATATGCGGATGTCATCAGCCGCATTATCTCTCTTCTCCCTCTCATCACGGTCTCTATGTGATGATGACGAGGCCCCTTCGATGAGGCCCCTTCGATGAGGCCCCTTCGAGGTGGCTCCCCCCGTGGATACCCCCCGCGTCAGCGTACTTTTCTCACGGCCACTTTTTTCCTTCAGGTCGTTAAAATTTAAGGACTACTTAAGAGCATGGACAGATAAAAAAAAATACGCCGATAAAAAAATTCAGAGATAAAAAAAGAAGGCAGCCTTGTTCCTTTGTTTCGGCTCATCCCTTACGGAGATTAATTGGGGTATGAGAGAAATTATGCCAGGTCATCGTTGCCATTCGTATCCGTCGTTCCAAGGGCATCGACTGAGAAATGCATATGAGTCTGCATACAGTCTGCAATGTGCATTAAGCCTGTAATGTAATGTAATGGAAAGTAATGGAGTGGAATGGAAAGTAACGTAATGGAATGGAATCCGATTCGATGTAATGGCACGGCATCCAACGTAATGGCATCGAGTGAAATGTGACGCAACTTAATGAAAGGTGATATAAGGCGACGTAAGGCAACGCGAGGTAATGCATCGCAACGTAATGTACTGTAATGTACGGTAAGGTAATGCACCAGGCCGTTGGACTTGATTGAGCGGCTCTTCGATCCTCCCATTCAGCGGGGATCCATTCCCCCTTAATTGACAAAGGGGATGGCAGGATTGAATGGCAACATGTGTTGACGACAATGGTCCCCTCCCCTCCCCTCCCCTCCCCC